CCCCAAAACCCCAAAACCCCAAAACCCCAAAACCCCGCAAAGCTAAAGATATGTAAATTATGCATTAATTTAAAAAAAATAAGTTGAAGTTCAATTTAATTTTTAAGTCTATATTAATGCGAGTTACAATTGTTAATTAAAATAAATAATCATGGCTACTGAAGTAAGATATTCTTTATTTCTCATAACATTATTAGATGAAAGATTAAGAAATCAGCAAAGTTACTGAATAACTTAGATTAGATGAGTCAACATATGATGCTCTTTAATAAGAATTCCAAGAAGTATAATTAGCAAATTTTTAATTATTTTTAGGTCCTTTAAGAATTAGATGGTATTCAAGACATGGATAGATTCAGAAACATATATATAAAATTGAACTAATAATTTCAAGCCTCTTATGAATCAGAAAAACAACTAGTTACAAAGTAATACGAAAACCCTTTTTATTAAATTCAATTTATAGATGCAATGAATTGAATGAAACGATTTATACAAATGAAACTAGAGTCAAAGCTGCTATCTTTTTGGCGAAAGAAGACGAACGAACCATTAATATCTTGAAAAAGGAAGTTGATAAGGCTTGGATACTGGTCGATAAAGTTAAGGAAAGAGAGTTGGATCATAAAAAGATTATTGAGGATTTGAAAAACTAATTAGATACATAGAACAAAAATTAAGAAGGTGCATCATGTGTAGATTAAGTTGCAAATAATAGTGATGTTGAGAGGCTGAATGAAGAGTTGAAAAAAGAATGCGAAGAGAAGACTTAGATTATCAAAGAACTAGAGACTCAAAATATCAGTGAAGTCGAACAGATTCAGATGCTCTAGAGTGATATCAATAAATTGGAGCTTGAAGTCTAGGAAGGTATCAACGAAAATCAGCAACTTTAAGAAATTAAAGAGGAAAATTGAGATATTTGAGAATATTTACATAGTAATATCTATTGAGCTAAGCTCCTTATGGTTGATCTTCATTTATTTTTAACATAATTAATTTAATTGTAATTTTACTTATTTGAGATTGCCGGGGTTTTGGGGTTTTGGGGTTTTGGGG